GTCGCCCGCGTCGCTGTCGCTGTCGCTGGAGAGGCCGGGCGGGTTGGCGCGCTGCGTGAGCGCGCCGGCCGGCAGCCGCAGCGGGCCCGCGAACAGCGCCACCGTCAGCGGCGTCACCAGCGTGTCGCAGCGCACGAAGCAGAAGCGGCCCGCGCGCGAGATCTCCTCGAACGCGAGCCAGTCGGCGGGCAGCGCCTGCGGGCCGGGCGGGCGGCGCAGCGTGGAGGCCGGGTGCAGCGCCACGCGGGGCTCGCGCGCCGTCCGCAGGGCTCCGCCCCCGCGGTCCACGCGCGCCAGCGACGGGTACAGGCCCGCCACGAGCGCCGCCTTGGCCACGCACCAGCGCTCCGAGTTGAGGTTGACGTCCTTGATGTCGCCGGAGCCGCGCGCCTTGACCAGGCCGAGCGCGCGCAGCTGGGCCAGCAGCTGCGCGCGGTGGCCCACCACGGTCTCCATGGTGGCGCCGCAGATGAGGTGGCGCGCGCAGAAGGCGCGCTCGTCGCCGGCCGCGCGCGCCGCCTGCCACGCCTGGAAGGCGCGCAGCAGCGCCATGTGGTCCGAGAAGCTCTCCGCGGCGAACTCGCGCCGCGCCGCCGCCCCGCGCCGCCGGCTCTCCGGACTAGTCGAGATCTGGAACGGCTCCTTGTTCGCGAGGCAGCACACGATCGTCAGGATCGGGTCGAGGCACTTGAGCGCGCACGCGTACAGCAGCATCTTGCCGAGCTTCGGCTCGACGGTGAGGTCGAGCAGGTGGCGGCCGATCTCGGTGAGGTCCTCGGTGGCGGTGAGCGCGCCGATCGTCTTGAGCAGCGCGACCGCGTTGCGCACGGCGAGGAAGGAGGGCGGCTCGGGCGCGCGCGCCAGGAAGTCGGCGATGGGCGTGTTGCCGGGCGCGAGCAGCTTGGTGTGCAGGCAGAGCTCCTGCAGCGGCACGCGCAGCATCTCGGGCTGCGGGTGGGCGGGCAACGCGCGGGCCCGGCGGCGGCTGCACAGGTGGTAGGCGCGGCCGGGGCGGCTGCGGCCCGCGCGGCCCGCCCGCTGCGCCAGGCCCGCGCGCGCCGCCCACACGCGCTGCAGCGAGCACACGCCGCCCGACGACTCGTAGTACTTCTCCTTCACCTTGCACGAGTCCACCACGTACACGACGTCGTCGATGGTGATCGACGTCTCCGCTATGTTCGTCGCGACGATGATCTTGCGCGCGTTCGGCAGCGGGTTGAACACCTTCTTCTGGTCGAGCGTCTGCATGTTGCCGTGCAGCGTGAACGTCTGGAACTTGGCGGCGGCCATCTCGGCGTCCGCCTGGACGAGGTCGCGCAGCGCGACGATGTCGTCGTACCCGGGCACGAACGCGAGGATCGCGCCCTTCGGCATCGTGAGGTGGATGTGCCGGATGAGGTGGTGCATGAGGTGGTGGTCGACGGGCTCCTCGGGCACGGAGTGGTGGTAGACGTCGAGCAGGAAGTCGTCGTGGTCGGGGGCGGGCGGGGCGGCGGGCGGGCGGCACGTGGCCAGCAGCTGCGCGCACTCGGTGTGCCCGTGCTCGGTCGCGTAGTCGTACGCCGTCTTCCCCTCCGCGTCCTTCGCCGACGGGTCCGCGCCTACGGCGACGAAGCGAACCTATATTAATGTCCGGTCCGCCGGGCGGCTACAACGGGCCACCGCACTGGCGGTCTGGCACGCACCTATCTGCAGCATGCTGGCGGCGGTGTCGGGCAGGCCGTGGCGCGCGGCCGCCATGAGGCCGGTGATGCGCGTGCGCGAGTGCGCCGCGTCCACGGGCGCGCCCTCCGACAGGTACATGTACAGGATCTGGCAGAACGAGTCCTGCACGCGCGCACGCACAGATCGATATATCAATAGTAGATACTGCACATTTAAAAAAATATAGTATAGGGCAAAATGAATTCGCAAATAATCGATTTCATCGCGATGTTCCACGATTCAATCCTTTAGGATTACTTTATGATATGACATCCCGACTTCTTAGATTACGATTGTCTCGATCGGATCATTAAATTATTAAAAGAATGCGAACTTTATTTTCTGCAAAAATAAATTTCATGAAAAGATGAACTAAAATGTCTTTCGCTTTAAAAATTGGCGCTTCCACGTTACAGTTCTGTCGTTGTCCGTGCATAACGTCCCTTATCACGGGATTTACCAGATAATATTAAAAAAATACCAAACAATCCTGGCGATGATGTTTGTGTTGATTAACACAATTAACACAAATGATTGCATAGTTCTGCTTTCTTCACAGGTAAAGAGAATTACTCAAAAATAATAATCGTGGGTTCACAAACGATATCTTCTTTATATTGATATAAAATAAAAGAAAATATTAAACTGACCATATTCGTCTGTCTGTCTGTCTGTCTACAGCTCAAATCAAGTATAACTAGAATTATGTAATTTGGAATGACTCATATTCACATAGAAAAAATAATTTGTGTAAAAATTGGATGAGAAATAGAAATCAAATGGAAAAAAACAATTACAGCTTCTAACATGATTTTAAATAATAACATATGTACTATCACTATATTTAAAAGAAACTTTTAATAATAAGCTGTAACAGTATTGACTGGAAAGTGTACGTTACCAGGCTGCCCTCCTTGAAGCAGTCGTCTAGGAACTCATCCATGTCGGCTTGCATCGACGGATCCATCGTGTTCTCCTTTTCTCCATCCTTATCTTTGTTACCGTTGGAGCCACCGGAATCGTTTGCACTAGACTTTTGTCCTAATGCACACAAATTGAGTTATTGTTATTGTTTCGAGTTGCGGATTATCTTGGGTTTATGCAGCCCAGTATCACTGCAACCATTGCTGATCTATTGTGATCTCCAATATGTGTTGTTTATTGCGTCATAAATGTCAGTATTTTACTATAACTATACTTTATGTGTCATAATTTCACAGATTAATATCATCATCCATAAAGTTTTTTCGAGAATTATTTCCATTTGGTAGATAACATGTTGTATTAACACTCAGTTACAATGTATGAAACATTTCTCATTTTAATACTAATTTAACAAAAAGTTATTGTTTCCATACTTAGTGAGGTTGAAGTTTTAAAAATAAGTAATAGCATCATTCACAAAACATTCACTGTCAAACTTTATCCAAATACAAACAAGAAATAACTTCATATATGAGACATAACAATGATCTTTTATTTTCGTTACATTTTGTTAATTAATGTTATTCGCAGTACGAATACATAAGTCAATTATATGATATCAACAGCTATAAGTATAGCTAAAACGTGAAGACAATATATAGAATCGGTCCTAGGACATATCCTTGATGCACATATTAAATTAAAACTTAAATAACATCACATACGTTGCTCGGATTCCAAGATGAGTAGCTAAAGCCCCCGTATTATGGAGTAAATGAGACAACAAAGGTCATTTTCTACATTGACTGGACCGGGAATCGAACCCGGGACTTCAGAGACGGCGACACCTTGAAACCTGCGTGCGAACCACAAGGCTACGGAAGTCGTCAACATTATGTACAAACCATGTCACCTAATCTAACTAGAAATTTTGCCTATTTCACCTCTTATCAAAACCCCTTTAAAAATATTATATGTAATTTGTTGTATAATATCTACTGCTCAACAAAAACTGTCTCACCTTCCAAGTGCGTCCAATAGCTTCCATTGCCAGACTTCAGTTTGGCTTTGAGTTCTTTCTCGACTTGTATCATCTTCTTGGTCTTGTACTGCGTTATACGCAGGATATCTTCCAAGTAGAACCGTTGCACTTCATGGAGGCGGCCAGGAATCGTTACCACCGGACAATTGTTGAAATACCTAGTCAAATAACAATCAATAACCGTAGTTATTTATATATTGTAAAGTTAACGAACTATATACCAACTCATTCAATCTTTTTTAAACTAATAACGAAAACCTATATCTTTACTATATCTTTGCTAGGGATTGCGAGAGAATTTAAAACTAGACAATTAGCCCACTTGAATTACCTGGAGAATATCTGTGTGTCCATTGTGGCAGACATGAGAATCAGTTTGAGTTCCTTGAACCGCGGCAAGGCATCTCTCAGCGCTATCAGCAGGAAATCGCTGAATTTGTCCCGCTCGTGCACCTCGTCCACGAATATATGAGTTACACCTGCACATCATTACGATATATCCATTAACCTATGTTATATATAACCTATGTATGAGTGAAACAATATACATATTTACGTGTCACGGTGTATGATCACTGATAAAATCTAACTATTCAGCTGCTTTCAATCAAATTTAACAAGTATCTTAAATATGCGCTAACTTAAAAGATATTTATTGCTGTATGTATTTAAGTGAGCAAAGTCAAGGGGAAACACCTAACAGTGTTGCACAAAATCTGCAAAGTAACCTAAAATTCATAGAACTTTTAATAGTTCAAAGTTTATGTGTGTGTGTGAGAGAGAGAGAGAAGAATAATATCTAAAACTTCATAATAAATATGTTTCTGATATATGAAAAACAGAAAAAAAAACAACTTATACTGAATGGGCTGTACGTAGGCGAACGTTAGTAACCTGTGAGCGACGAGTCGCCGGCCATGAGCGTGCGCAGCAGCACGCCGTTGGTGCAGTAGGTGAGGACAGTGCGCGGGCTAACGCGGGACTCCAGCCGAATCTGGTAGCCCACCGACTGGCCTATCTTCTCCTGCCGCTCGTACGCCACCTGTTCCCACATTGCACTACATGCCTCACATACATGTCCTGGATTCGTTTGTCGACCAAATCATATACAGTACAACCAGTTTATAAGTTACAAAGATGTATCTGCATAGAAGTGTCATTTTAAATTTTAGCTAATCACTTACGTTAAACTCGTGTTCATTGCTATTGGTTAATGCTCTGGAAACCATCACTTTGGACACAAAATCATATACCTCAATAGACGCTCACATAAAGTTACTATGTCTGTAATTAATATCATGACAGGCTATACAATATTATTAAACTAAAAATACTGTTATTATAAGTATTATGATGTTTATAGAGTAAAATCTCACCCGCTCAGCGACAGACACGGCAGATATGCGACGCGGCTGCGTACAATAGATGCGCGCGGGCAGTCGCTGCTCCTGACAGTGCTCTAACACTAGCTGTGGCAACTGGGTTGTTTTGCCGCAACCCGTTGCACCAGCCACTATTATCACCTGATTTTATATATTTATATTTAAAAGTAACAAAAATTAATGTGTTAATAAAATATAATCTATAATTAATATTACCTGATTGTGGGCAATTGCAGAAAGCAGATCCTGCCTTTGTTCATATACTGGCAATTTTTCTCTAAACTTTACTAAATCAGGGTTGTATGTTGTATTTGGCACCTAAAAATTTTTTATTACCATTAGAAATTTGTTTCTTACATTTTCAGTAGATAAAAAACGATAAACCTTTCAAAAATTATTTTATTTACTAATTTTGAAGTTTGTCTGAAAACATAAATGAAGTGCTATGACAACCTGAAAGATGCATTTATGAGCCTCTCCCTCTCTGCAGGTTGAGTGAGACACTCAGGAGCACTGAATTAAATTAAATTTGGTATCTCTCAGATGGGATGAAAATGTGCAATTTTTCACCCCAACTGATGGTAGAAATTTGACTATTTTAGTAATGCACATAAAATAAATGGTTTTGGCAGTCCTCACATGATGTTAGCTAGACACTGCCTAAAGAATTCTGAAGAGACTAACTGCCTAAAGAAGAAACAGGTGGAAATCAGAAGGTGCAAGGTCAGAACCATAAGGCAGATGCTTTAACAATTTCCAACTAAATTCTTTTAATTTTTGCTAAGCGGCAAAAGATATGTGAGGTCTAGTGTTATCATGATGTAAAATTATTTTTCCCCAACTGATATACATATGTTATAGTTTTTCATTGCTTATTTGTTAGGCAAAAATAAGATATTTTTGATAGACACACTTTTAAGGACTAACAAGGCAAAAAACTGCCTTGATGTGTAACGAGGATCAATACCCTGTCATACAGTAAATATTATATTAATTTTTGACAATTCACATCTACCAACCTGAGCAACTCCGTTATTCAATTGTCCAAGTGTTTTATGAGCCAACTGTGGACTCCTTTCTTTTTCTGGACAACAACTCAAATCATCTTTCTCCTTACTAGTGATTGGATATGCATTAAAAAGCTCTGCTATTGTACATCTCATGTTTGAATCCAATATCAACTTGGCATCATTCTGAATTATTGTAGAGCCTGAACGTTTGTATATTGTTAAATACCGATTTACTCCTAAAAAGAGCATTTATAGTTATTACAAAATTATATTTGTGTGATACTTGCACATATTTGTGAGAACATTAAATTTATTAACATAAACAAATTTATGTCTAAGTGTGGTATAATATAATATAGTGATAAATACAAACAATGTTAACAAAAAATATTTTTTCAAGACAACAAGAAATTGTTACCTTTCCCTCGCGATTTTGATTTGAGGCCCAATTTTGCGACAGTCTCATGAATAAAACCGCGCTCTTGAGCAGACAGAAACGTTGGGAACTTTAATTCTGTTTCATTATCATCACTGAGAAATTTATCAAGTTGGATCTTTAGCGCTATACTAACAGACTCTGCTATCGGAAAATGTTTATTTCCCAAATTACGTTTTACTTTTTTGGAACTCATTTTTTATCCTTAAGAAATCTTTCCAGTCAATAGATTCAATATAAATAAGTACCCATCACAAACCAAAATAAAATTGTAAAATACTATCTTTCTGCGAAACAATGTGAAATCTTTATGGAGCGAAATGTCAAATTACAGTCCAGATGACAGTCGTCTTTTCTTTTAATAAAAAATTACGTACTGCACGTTTTCACACTAATTTCTACATGTTAAATGTAAATTAAATGAACGAAACACGGATGGCGATGGTCTCAAATGACACACAGCACCAGCACCACAGCACAGCAGAGTATTATTGTTCTGTGAGCACAGCACAGACCAATATCAAATACTTCTTCTTCTTTTTTATTTAGGCCTATTTGCGATTGCGCTATTCCGCCATGTCACGTTTGTGGGTTTTACACGTAAAGAATTAATAATAAAATATGACAATTTCGAATTTAAATAAAATAAAACTCTGAGCGCATCTTTCTGATTATATTGTTAAAAATAATAAAAATAGAATGTATAAAATGACAGTCAAAGACAATTACATATAAATAATATTATATCATATGACATTATCAATGTCAGCTATGAAAAGCGGTTCCGTCCGGCGGGCAGATAGGGAATAAATAGATAAGGTAGAGTGGAAATATTTTCAATGGTTAGGGGTATGTTCCGATATACACTGCGAGCACTGCGCAGTGGTCTTACTGCTGAAAAATCCGTTCCGTTATGGACTGCCAGTACACTGCTACAGTACCCTAGGGAAATTTGTGACGTCATAAATTGCCGCCATATTTGTACTGTGAGCACTGGAGATTTCGAGGTAAGGTGCTCGCAGTGCTTTTGATCACGTGATCAGTCGAAACAGAATCAGAAAATGATAAGTTTCTAAATAAACAAAAAAAAAAATACTTACGTTTATTTATAAGATGGATTTAATTGATAAATAATTTTTTTATACAACTTTCCAATTTTATTTTGAAAAGAGGGAATCTTTATATTTATATTCACCTTGCATTAACAAATTTGAAAATGGCGCCAAAAAATAGGATTAACAGTATACTGGACTGCGTTCCGTTTTATAAAGTCACCAGTATAACTAGCTATAAAGGAACGGGCTTCCAGTATACTAAATTGACGTCATACTGTTCAGCGGTCGCGGTGTATATCGGAACATACCCTATATAAATATCATGCAATCTGAAGTTGACATCGAAAACATCATGTTGTCTTTTTTTAACTAATAAGAAGTTTCTTTAGTAAACAAAGATCGCACTAGTGTGACAGTTCAAAATTTTTTACGTGACGTCATGACATATAGCTATCGTACCACCTATCCGCCATTTGCAAATTTGCCGTGCGTATTCTCGGAAGTAGTTCAGCTGTCAGTGTTACAAGTTTTGTGGTTATTTTCATTTATAACTTTAATTTATATAACTTTCATGGCAGAAAATTGTAAATTATTTATGCAAAACAATGCCTAGGTGCAGTGTAATTGGTTGTGCGTCATCGATATCCCGCAAACCGAGCAATATTACGTTTCACCGGTAAGTTAAACATTTTCTTAGAAAAACAGTATTTAAAACGTAAGTAAGTTATTCTGAAAATGATTGCGTGTATAAATCGATACATATCGTATTTTAGCGTGTTCTATTTATGTTATATTGCTCTTTTCGTTTATATTTTTATAATATTTCGGTCCGTAAATAATGTTGTTTACATGACTAGTGTTGTTACTTTAAGATTTGGTTTATATCGATCAATTTATTATTTAAAAATTTATTCATTATTTTAGATTACCAAAAAATGAAACAAAAAGAGGAATATGGCCGAGTTCCATTGGAGCAGAAAATATTAAATATAATGAAAACGTTACTTTTATCTGCTCACTTCATTGTAGGGAAAGTTGTTTGGATCGAACTTTAAATATAATAAAATTACGAGATAATCAAATCAAATACGCTGGTAAGAATTTTTGACAATTTCTTTCAACTTAATTTTACAATTTTTTTGTCTATTACACTTAGTTAATTTTCATTTGATTTTACTGATTTATTTATTTAGTTTTTATATAGTCATTTTGTTATTCTATAAATGTACCTTATTTTTAGCCTTGCGGTCATATGACAACTATTTTAATTGAAAAAAATCAGAATGCAATATATAATAATATTAAAATATAAAATTCTGATCATAATATATTCCCAGAAAAATTTCAAGGTTTTCTTTGCTGTTCAATAGTATAATCTTAATACCCAAATAATTATTTTGCTGATGCATCATAAAATACGCTGCCTTTTTGTATTTAAATTGCTGACCGTTATCATGATTGTTCACAGAACTTGAATTGAAGACAGTTTTAGTGCTGAGAAAATATTTGTATGCTTGCCCATTGATTTATCGACTGTTTCCTTTTTGTGGTTAGCAAAAGGAAACAGCCTTTTTAAATAAAATGCCAATTGTTACTTTTTTAATAAATTACATCACTTTTTCATCTACCAACTTTGTTTTCTTTATTTTCTCTTGTTTATTCATCAAAGTTTCTTTTACAAATAATATAATACAAAGATTATGTAGGTGTTTCAAGTTTTCTATGTTTACTACTAAACAAGATGCTCTGAACTAAAATTGTGACACAGTACGCACGGTATCTCACTTATTGAGGAGTAAGCGAAATTTATTCAGTCAATACAATTTATTGAATAAATTTATAGACAAGTTGGCTTACTAGTTAAGCATATAAGAAAAGTCGAAACTCTGTGCTTATAGTTCGTAAATCTATTACGGGAAACTTTGTACCGAGAAAAGAAGAAGGGGAACCGATAAGAAACTGCAAGTGCTGCTTTTGCACCCTGTTTAATTTCGTACTGAAAAATAAAAAATGACTTCATTGCACCAAAATGTCACTTTTCACTATAACAATAAAAAATATATAACAGACAAAAAAAACATAATTCATTCGTCAATCGACTCATTTAAAGCTTATTATAGTTACCGTGGCAGTTATCTTGGACAGTGGTCACACTTTTCGTGGATGCAAAATTGAACTTAAGTTAAAAAAATCTATTTAATTATAGTTGCAAAATATCAACTTTACAATATATATGGAAATAATTATAAAACACGATTGATATTATTGTTAAACTTTTAAGATATATATTTTGTTACTATAGTTCTTAAAACTACGTAAAATTGTCTTTATTATTTCTGTTTAAAAGTAAATTCGTTTTCAAAACTCAATAAACAACTCATATTCTATTTGAATTTTTTGGATTTGTTTTGATATCTAAGTTTCGAACTTTTCAAAATTCAGTTTTTAATATGTTAGTTAAAAAGAACGGAAATTACTGACTGTGGTGCAATCGTTTTCCTGCAAAAATCAAGTTTTGCTAGAGTAGCCATCTAGTGGAAATGATTTTTAGTGCTTTCATTTTTTTTTAAATACTTCCTCGTTTCCTCACGATTACATGTCAGTCTATACATATATTATGGACTTTGTACCGACTACGCATTGTGAAGAACTTTCCTATTAACAGAGATCTACTTACGGTGATAGTCGTTGGCGTGACGTACAGCCGTGCATACAATAGTACGTACGACTGCACGTCAGATTTACCATAATATGTCAAATTACCGTAATTAATTTTGAATTCTAATCTTAATTGAAGAAATGACAGGCTTGCGTGTAAAACACTACTTAGCGAGCAATTTCTTTCGTATCTCCTTCGCAACGGGACGTTGGCGGAGTTTCTGTGTATAACGGAAAAAGTCTAGAATATATAAAAAAAAAATGAGAGTTTTATATACTTTGACGTGATATTACTACTGTACTGTATAAAATTAAATTAAAATGAAAAAGGTTTGACATATTATTTATTGGAGTCATCAACAATCTAAAAAAAAAGCGGCGTAGATAAATAAAGCAGCGAAGTGTCATCTAGTGGCAATAGGATCAACTCGATAATTCAAGTGTATAGAGACTCGAGTCGCATCACTACTTTGTTCTCTTGGTCGTGGACGTCTTCGATATATACTTTTACTCTTTGCTTGGAGTTTTGCGTATGGAACACGTGTGTAGTCTTACTTTTTGTTTCTCAATGAAAACATCTGATATTATTTAAAATGGCTAAGAAAATTAAGCACTTAGTTGTGGATACAACTGCTTTTATTAAAGCTGCAAACCTACAAGATATGGCTGAGAATGTGTATACAATACAGGAGGTAATAGATGAAATCACCAATGATAGGCAAAGACGTAAACTTGTGGTGTTACCGTACGATTTAAAAACGAAAGAAGTCTTCTCCGAACATATTAAATTTGTAACAGATTTCTCAAAGAAGACAGGTGACTATACAAGCCTTTCTGCAACTGACATTAAGGTTATGGCGTTGACTTATCAGCTTGAGAAAGAAAAAATTGGTACAGATCATTTGAAAACTGAACCTACTATGCAGAGAACGCTGAAAGTTACTGGATTAGCTGGTTTTAATCCTCATCCAGAAAATATAGACAATAGAGTTGACTCTGATACACCTCTTAAATCTGAGGCATCAGAAAATTTAGAAGAGGACACAAGTCAACAAATACAACAACATTTTATGTCTCCTAAAACTGATTCAGAAGAACGGGAACAAAATAATAGTAGCAGCGAATTAGCTGAAGAAATTACAATTCAAATCGAAAATATGGAATTGAAAGATAAGGAGATAGACAATTTAATAGTAAAAGTAGATTTAGAAGAAAATGAGGAATATACCAGTGAAGAATCAGACAGTGATGGAGGTGAATGGATTACACCTGGAAATCTTGCACAAAAGAAAAAAGAAACAGAGTTAGGAGACTTTGAGGAAAAAGAAGTTGAGGTTGCTTGTATAACGTCTGACTTTGCAATGCAGAATGTTCTACGACAAATTGGATTAAATGTAACAGCAATTGATGGCAGAGTAATAAAACAGTTAAGGACATTCATTTTCCGATGCACAACATGTTTCAAAACTACTAGTGTCATGACAAAATTATTTTGTCCTAAATGTGGTCATGCTACTCTTCGAAAGGTGGCAGTGAGCATTGATGAGGAAGGAAACCAGCATATACACATAAATGGTCGTAAACCACTGACTGCTAGGGGCAAGAGGTTCAGTTTACCCACACCCAGAGGAGGACAACATTTTCAGTACCCAATCCTTACCGAAGATCAACATATTCACAAAAGATTTGCTACTAAATTAGCCAGAAATAAAACAAACGCTTTGGACCCAGATTATACAGCTGGGTTTTCACCTTTTGCTGTGAAGGATGTAAACTCTAAATCAGCAGTCTTAGGAGTGAGAGCAAACAAACAAGATATAAAATACTGGATGAAACACTACTCAAAAGGTAAAAAGAAGTAGGATTACAAACTATATATAATAAAAATTATAATTAAAATATATGTTTAAATTAACAATTTGTGTTATCATTTTTATTCATTTGCAGTTTTGTAATACACTATACAATAAAATTAGCTTGTTAAGTTAATTTCCAGTAAGTTTTTCCTCAATGAATTTAAAGGCAGAATCAATACATGCACACGATGACATCTCATGTTTTGGGTGACCTGTAACAATATATACATTTAATCGCCTCATAAACCTCTTTAAGATTGACATAAAACCATATGGTTTGAACTTTTAACAAATAACTTGTTATAATTTTAATAAAAAATGCACTATGTCCCTGCAACGGATAACTCTTTAAGCATCAATTTGTTTTTTTAAGCATTTTTCAGTATAGCATTGTGAATGCATTGATCAAATTAATAACTTACTATATTTGAATAATTTTTCATTAAAATAAACAATATGTGCCTTGCATCTCTATGGGTCACCTAACTAGAACTTAACAGAGAAAAATAGGAATTACACTATTACCTGCTGATACTCTGTGACAATCAAATTCTGGAGTTTTCATTGGAGTGTCTAGAGGTTCTGATGAAGATATCCAATTTCTTGAAATCTAAAAGATGGAAATGTGAAAATTTTAACTATACACCATTACTTTATATATCACATATAAAATTGAACCAACTACCAACTTACTTCCTTCATAAACTTGGGCATTTTTATAGGTGAAAATGCATGAACAGAATCTGTAAATACTATAGCCTTAATTCTTCTTTCGAATTCAGTTTTCAGTTGATCGGCTAATGTGACTGTAACCACGCCTCCATAGCTATGAGCCACAATGACTATTGATGATGATTTGGTTTTTGCTACATAAGTTTCCCACACATAATGTGCATGCTCTTCTGCATTGCTACTATTTTTTATTTTCTTACCATTCACTTCATAATTATCATTGGTATTTAAAATCATCACACCATAGTCTTTGGCTATAGCTCTTCTTATGTATGGTATCTGTGTCCCTTTATCTAAACTCTCATTGATAATAAGTCTGGAAATTTAATTGATAGTAAACTAATTTACAGTTATCGTAAAGTGTATGCCAACATATGTAAATAACTTACGATCTCGCCCATTGTCCAGCACGGACTGCCCCTGAACCATTTATTAAAATCATTAATATATCCTTGTGATCATAACTTTTTGAAGCAAATATAAAAGTTCCTGCTCCAGGCTTAGCGTCTATAGGTACAGGCAACCGTATCAGACTCAGTTCTGCTTCTAATAAATGGTAAATATAGTTTGTTATTGCATTGCCTAATTCTTCATAATGAGCTTGACATTCATGATGCTCATCACTAATATTGAACTGAAATGGTTCGTCACTCGGTTGACCATCGGGGCCTAATTTCCTTAATTGTCCTTCTGAAATTTTAAGCGATAGATTAACGAAATAAGATAGACAAACATTGTGATAAGTTTGAGTCATAAATTATTTAATCTTACCACTATTAAATGCGTATCCCAGATGGACCATTGTTTTAGTAGCTTCCATTACTTTGTTTATTTGTATAAGCTTATACTGATTTGTCAATTTAAGTATTTGTTAAAGACAGATATTTTGTTCGATAACATCACCGACCCGACTATTTGTTTATAAGAACCACAGACTTAAAAAAACTATTTTGACATTTGCTTGACGCACACTATCGCCCTAGTGATGCTCCGAAAAATACATCAAACCATTTTGATTGTGCTAATCAAATATCCGCGGATACGGATGTCCGAAAAATCACTAGTATGGACCAAAGACAGTCATTTCTATTCCTTATAACTAACATATTAAAAAAGTAAAATTTGAAACTTATTTATCAATATAAATACGAAAAATTACAAATAGAATATGAGTTGTTTACTGAGTTTTGAAAACGAATTTACTTTTAAATATGAAAGAAAACCGGAAGGGTTGTCATGGAGAAATCAAAAACGTACCGTAGCGACATCTAGTTTGATTTGGGGAACTTTTTTTTAATACTTCCTCATTCAAGTTAATAGTTCTAGTCGACATCACTATTCGATAATGTATATCACTAATAAGGGTAGTTTCTTGAATAAAATCTGATTTTTTGCAATGGCTTAGTTCCTTCGCCTGTCCTATGGACGAAACGAAACTACTACTACTAATTTTTTGCTGATTTTAATAAGACCATTAAAACGTAGCAGTAGCAAAAATAAATTAAGTTCTACTTGTATGCATTATATGTCGGTTTGGTTGAAATACATTTTTGTATAATCATAACTTTATATTCTTTTAACAGTATTAATAACCATGCCTAAAATCAATGAGCATAAATATAATATAGCCTTAAACTAAAGAAATTATCATATTTGATTAATTTCACATTCCCAATGCTATACTGAAAAAGATTTTTAATGAAAAATGCTTAAGAGCCATATTACATCGCAACTGTGATTTCTACATGATTTTTCTCGGAAACAAAAACAAATTAACAATTTTGACTTGTTGAATAGTGAAGAATAACTCTTGGTATAGAAATTAGTGGCTCAATGGAAATTTTGCTCATCTTTTTAATTAAATCCAAAATACCAGAGAAAGTTTTTCATAAAATGCGCAAAGACACTTTTTTGAAGTCCTGGATTGAGCTACTGTTCTTAACAAACGAAATAAAAGAAATAGAATGATATCTCTTATATAGTCGTAAAGTAAACAGTAGCTCGAAATTTTGAAATAGCACTGATTAAATATAGAAAAACAATTATATTACAAACCAAAAAACATCAAAAATTGCTTGAAGTTAACTTTGAATTTCTCTTAGCCACAACAATATTATTTAACAAAATTTATGCCAGATTAATGACTATTTCATAAGGAACAAAGTTATTATAATTTTAAAGCATAAATTTATTATATTATTTCAATAAATACGATAAATGTAAACGCAAAATCACTACAAAATAAGATGCAGCGGCCGTCTGAGCTCAGTATAGGGGTGTCCGTTAAGAAAATACATCGATGTTTTTTTCGATGCAATACATCGCGACTATGCATCGATACTTTTCGATACATCGGTTTAAAACATCGATGTTTTTCTAAAATCGAGTACTTTTTTAACAGTTTAAAAAAATGATTACCAAAGGTAAGTGTGAAAATATCCTTTATTTTTATTACAAAAAGTACAGTCAAGTCTATGAATTATGTATACACTGTGGAACCTTATCATACTAACACTTACTCAATAGTCGTAGGACCTCGGTACATCGAAAATATATCTATTTATATAATGTGACAGGGGTCTCATTTGTAGACCTATTACGAGAAGAGGCGACTGAAAAGACTTAAAAAAAATCAGCGAAAATAAAAATCCCAATGGAATACTGGAAATATTTCCAGTGTTCTTTTGGAAGACTTTGCAAAAACAGAAGTTTATTTAAGCGGGAGCCCTTTAGTCGATTACGTTGTTGATTAACTGTTTGTGCAGCTTTTGAAAATAAACGTTCAGCTGGTACTGAAGTCCCCACCATGGTGAGGTACTTGTAAGCGATTATATGTAGTTTGGGTAGCTGAATTTTAAGATCATTCCATATCTGTAATGGGTTTTCATTGAGTCTTCCTACTGGACTACGTAAATATATAGATAGCTCGCCAGAACTAGAGCCGTCGACGTTTTCCAGTTCTTACGGACTAATTCCCATAAACAAAAGTTATCTTCAGGTTTCTCAGAATTATCCGAAGAATCTAATTCTACCTCATTTTGTGCTATAGTTTTCAATAAGTCTTTGACTTTTGCAACAGCTGAAGAGCAAGCAAGAGGATTTGTGAAATGCATTTTCTTGAATCTTGGGTCTAATACTGTAGCTATGGCGAGAGGGGTCACATTCTCTATAACACCCATTCTTTTGGCAATCTCTTTTAAGACTAGCCATTTCAGATCTTTTCCAAGAGAATCCTCGAGCTGAAGAATTTGTACTTTTAAAATAAGTGGAATAACCTTGCTGCTAGTGCAGTACAAGTACTGCTAGATAATCAGTACTTGTACTGCACTAGCAGCAAGGTATTCTGCACTAATATTCTGTAAGGTATGCAAATTGCTAATGTACGACACAGTTAAATCCAAATGTAATTAAATGTTTTCACTTAAAGCTCATCAAATTATCGGGACACACACAATCAACAACACCAACGGTTGATGCTGTCAAAAACTTTTTTTAAATTCTTTGTCATTGTGATGTACTGACGCAGTGTTACCAACGTTAATTTCTAGATTCCGTCAATAAAAATTTTAATCAAAATTATTTTTGCATCTATGCTTGCCATGTAAAGTAGTAAAAGCTACCCACGTGACTTTGGCGGAACCTAGAATAATGTACCCTTAGCGGTAAAACATGAGTTCGTCGCTATAAACAGAAGAAGAACCGCTTACTAGCGCCACCATTGCCACCAATAGGTTTTATTTTTGTCCTCTAAAATAAAGCAATTGAATTGAATCATTATAATATACCTAATCAGTAGCTAGCTAGTTACAGTTTATTCGATGTTTCATGAAATACATCGATACATCGAAGAAATTAATAGCTTTCAAAACATCGAATCGATTCGATGTATCGACATGTAAACATCGAGTGAATTCGATGCATCGATGTATATCGAATATCCCTAGCTCAGTACCGCGCGAGCGCTCCTCAACGTTAGATCTGTGTCGCATTTCTTCGCGCCATTTTTCGATCTAGATACGTTCGAGCGAGCGTAAATAGAGCAGTATAGTGACTTCCAACATTGGTCACGAAGTTCGATTTATATGGAATTTATATAGCTTATTGAATTATTTCTAATACACATTTGTTATTTTCAGCATAGGTCGAAAGACCCCTAGGTATATTTGTATAAGAAAGTTAAAATATATATTTATATTATGAAATGCAAATAAAGCAAGGTACTTCTTCTCTCAATACACTTATACTAGTACATAAAATTGGAGTGCATATTTGTAATATTAAAATAACCGCTTTTCACTAAATACATTTGTGTGTATACATGGTACATATACAAAAATAATATATTTTATCTGTCTGTCTGTTAGTTATGGCTAATCTCTGAAACGGCTTGGCCGATTTTGAAGAGACTTTCACTAGAAATTGACTTATGTTATGAGGATTAACTTAGACTTATGGCTCGATGCAATTCGACCGATATCAAATTTATCGGAGATCCGCATATGAAACAACTTTTTCTAAATTCAATATATTTTTAATCCCGGACGCAAAAACGACGCGGTGTTATAAGTTTGACATGTCTCTCTGTGTGTGTGTGGTGTGTTTGTGTCTTTTTGTGGCATCATAGTTCCCGAACAGATGAACCCATTTTGATTTTGTTTAAAAGGTGTATTAGTCGGGAGTGTTCTTCACTTTGATGAAAATCGATACAAGATGGCCGCCGCCACAAAATGTCGGATCACATATTTTATCACCATTCCATCAATATGGGTATCAAATAAGAGGGCTTGAGTAGTAGAATACTGAACACTATGACAAATTTCAAATCCAAGATGGCCGTCACCAAAAATGTTGGATTACCTACATATTTTTTACGACTTCCTCAATACGGACATTAAATAAAAGGGCTTGAGTAGTAGAATACTGTTTACTATGTCAAAATTTTATATACAAGATGGCCGCCGCCACAAAATGTTGGATTATCTATTTATTTATTTATTTTGTACACACATACAATTTCATATGAACAAATGTAACAGACATTAGTACAAGGGCACTGCTTATTTCAAATTGAAGTTTCTACCAGCAGGCCCAAAACAGGAAAAAGAAATACAATAAGGTAGTCAGTGTGTACCTCCTAAATAAATTAATATGGAATAAAAAAAACAAATTCAAATACCGGGAAAGAGAGAAAATAAAAATACATAACGGTTCAAACATTATATAAATAATAATATATATACATATCTATAATATATAAAGCTTAATTACCACTGACTGACTCACTCACTCACTCCATGCTTTTTTCGGGTAGTTAAAGTAGGAAAATGACATTTTCATGTATGGAGACTGACTATATTTTTTTTAAATGAGTTGAAGTACCATATCGGTACAGCCAAAAAACAAAATGGCGGCGAGATAATTTTTTCAATTTCTACAGTATTCACTCTACGGTTACCATATTCAAAATGGTCGTAGAGTGGGCTAAAAAAATGGCAATGAAAAAAAGGTTTGTTAAAAAAAACAAAATGGCGGCCGAGATATTTTACCTCGAAAATTGACATTTTTCGACCTCTGTTCGGGCAATCGTCAATTGTTTTTTTGTGGGTCCGGAGGAGGGATTTTTGCTCCTTCAGCTCGGAAGTATAGTCAATTTTCACGTAGAGGGAGTTTTCATTTGAAAAATTTTGCCCATTTTTTACTTTGTCGACTCTAGCGCAGTCGGTATTGCCACTAGGAAAATTATAAAAACTGCATCGGATGCGCTATCGAGTCAGCCACACCGGTACGGAGCCGGATTTTCAAAATTCAAGATGGCGGCCAAACCAGCGGCCGTTTTATCCGGAAAATTGGGTATCGTCACCACATCGAGCCGATTTTGACGCACCTGCCGTCATTTGTCAGAGTACTTTCGGGGAAACATTTTTTAGGCAAATAACTAAAGTGTTGCCAGGTGA